AAAAATAGACAACCCAAAAGAAGGCAGGAAGGAACAGACAAACAAAATGAAGAGGGACAAACAGAAAACAAATAGTAGATCTAAAATAAAAATAATAGACCTAAATTCAACCATATCAGTAGTTTATATTAAATATAAATGGTCCAAACATAACAATCAAAGATGCAGATTATCAGACTGGTTAACTTGGGTTAACAAGACCCAAGACTATGTTATCTGTAAAAAACAAACAAATCCACTTTAATAATAAACACACAGATGGGTTAAAATAAAAGGACAAGAAAAGATATACCATGCAAACAATAAGCAAAGGAAAACTTAAGTGGCTATCTTATACATCACACAAAGCAGACTTGAGAACAATGAATATTACCAGGGATAAAAAGGAACATTCCATAACAAGAAGCTCAATTCATTAAGAAAACATAATACTCCTAAATGTACATATACTTAACAACAGAGCTTCTAAATATCTTAAGTAAAAGCTGACTGATGTGAAAAGAGAAACAGACAAATCTACAATTATAGAGAATTTAACACTCCACTCCTCTCTCAACAATTCACAGAACAAGTAGACAAAAAATCAGTTAAGAATATGGAATACCTAAATAACATTATCAACCAACTTGACTTAAATAACATACACCAAACACTCCATCCAACAACAGCAGACTACACATTCTTTTTAAGTGCACACAGAACACCCAACAACATGGACCATATTCCAGGCCCCCCCCAAAAAAAATCTGATAAATTGAAAAGAATTGAAATCATACAAAGCATACTGTCTGATCATAATGAAATTAAATAAGAAATCAATAACAGAAAGATATCTGGATAATCCTCAAGTATTTGGAAATTAAAGAACACATTTTAAACAACTTGTAGATCAAAGAAATCACAAAGGAAATTAGAAAATATTCTGATTTGAGTGATATGTTACAAAGATACAACACATAAAAATTTGTAGGTTGTAGTGCTTAGAGGGAAATTTAAATTTATGCCTAACAGGGGCACCAGGGTGGCTCAGTTGTTAAGCGTCTGCCTTCGGCTCAGGTCGTGATCCCAGGGTCCTGGGATAGAGCCCCGCATCGGGCTCCCTGCTCAGCGGGAAGCCTGCTTCTCCCTCTCCCACTCCCCCTACTTGTGTTCCCTCTCACGCTGTGTCTCTCTCTGTCAAATAAATAAATAAAATCTTAAAAAAAAATATGCCTAACAATACTTAAATTTTTAAAAAAGTGTTTCTAGTCAATAGTCTAATATTTAACTTTATAAAACTAGAAGAAAAATAAGTCCAAAGTAAGCAGAGGAAGGAAATAATAAAGAACACAAATCAATAAAATTGAGAAAAGAAAAACAATTTAAATACACAAGGGGTGTTATAAAAGGTCAATAAATTAGAAAAAGACATAGGCAGGTAGACTCTACAAAGGCCAGCAATGATCTACACCCTCCTGTTTTTCACACCTTTGTGCAATTCCCTCTCCTTGATTGTGGGCAAAACCTGTGATTTGCTTCTAACCAACGGAATATGGGATGTTCTGTTCTTCTGCTTTCTCAGTTTATACACTCTGATGAAGCAAGCTACCATGCTGCAGAGGCCCACATGACAAGGAATTGAGGGTGTATTATGAACTTTGCCAATAAGCGCATGGTTTTGGAAGTAGATCCTTTATCAGTCCAGCATTCAAACTGAGACGCCTACCTCTGGCCAAGACTTGAGTGTAGCCTTATGAGAGATCCTGAAGCAGAGGACCCGGCTAAGTCATGCCCGAACTCTCCAAATTCTGACCTGCAGAAACTTTCAGATAATAAGTATGTGCTATTTTAAAGTCACTAAGTTTGTAGTAAACTAGCTATGAATATACAGATTATGAAGACTTAAACTTTGACTCTTACATAATTCACACAAGAATTAACTCTAAGAACTTGTTATGCAGCAATACGTACGTACCTGATCTAGAGTGAAGACACAAATTACCAATAACAAGAATGAAAGTGGAGACATTACTACAGACCTTACAGAGAGTTAAATGATAATAAGGGAATATTATGAACAACTTTATGCTTATACAATTGGCAACTTAGGCGAAACAGACAAATTCAAAGACACAAACTGCCAAAGCTTGTTGAATAGTCTTGTGTGTGTATGTGTGTGTGTGTATAAAGGTACAAAGATGCACTCTCTCCCATGTTCTCTCCCTCTCCCCCTTCCTCCTCTCTTCTTCAATTTGTTTTAAAGAAATCAAGTATGTAGCTAAAAATCTCCCAAAAAAGATGCCACAGCGTGGTTTTGCCGTGTAATTCTTTGAAACATTTTAAAGGAAAATAATACTAATTCTACACAAGCTCTCCCAGAAAAGTGAAGAGGACAAAACACTCCCCAACACATTTATGAATATGGCATTACCTTGATACAAACAAAAAACATTATAAGAAAACTACAGACTAGCAAATTGAATCTAGTACTGTGCAAAAAGCTAATACATTATGCAAAGCTCATTGAACACACAAAAATCAATTGATGCAGGGGTGCCTGGATGGCTCAGTCAGTTAAGTGTCTGCCTACAGCTCAGGTCATGATCCTGGGGTCCTGGGATCAAGCCCCACATCAGGCTCCCTGCTCAGTGGGGAGCCTGCTTCTTCCTCTCCCTCTGCCTCCCCACCTTGTACTCTCTCTCTTTCATTCTATCTCAAATAAATACAATCTTTAAAAGAAAAATCAATCAATGCAATTCACCATTTCAACAGATCAAATAAGAAAAACCATATAATCATCTCAATAGATGCAGAAAAAAATTCACTTGACAAAATTCAACATCAATTCATGATAAACACTCTCAGCAAACTAATAATAGAAGGGTATTTTCTTAACCTGGTAAAGGGCACCTACAAAAAAACCTACACCTAATATCATACTTCGTGGTGAAAGACTGAATACTTTCTCCCTAAGACTGAGAATAAAGCAAAGATGTTCTCACCACTCCCATTTATTTATCATCATACTGGAGAGCCTAAAGAGAGGAGAGAATACAATATGAATATACAATAAAACACCTACAAAAAAGAAATAAAAATTATCTCTGGTCACAGATAACAAGATTATCTACATAAAAAAATGCAAGGCATCCACAAAAAAGATACCAGGAATTTCCTTAAAGAACTATAGGGAGGAATGATGACATCTGTATAGAGTACCATTTAACAGAACTGCATGGCTATTTCTAACCTGTATGAGATCGGAATTCCCCTATATCCCCTTTTCCTTTGAAAGATTCTAGAGAATGAATATTTCTTTTTCAAAATTGTGACTATGATTTGCTTTTATGCATTCCTGCATTACTACTCAGTTTATCTTCATCTATCTTCCCTTCCTCACCCCCGAGGTTAGCATCTACAGGAAAGAAAAAAAAGAGCAAAGTTTATTCTACTTTCCTCTTTCAATTAGATCCCCTCAGGGAAACCAAAAGTAGCACAGTCATAATAGTAACTTCTTGGCTACAGAGAGTCATCTAGATTTAAGGGGAACCGGGAAATCATGCTGTCTTTGCCTTTTTATCACAAGGTGAGTCTCTTTCTTCGGGTGAGAAGCAGACCTTTGCTGAAGAGCAGAAGATGCAAGGGGATGGAAGAGATGATGCTAAGATGGGTGCTGGGAGGGACTATGCGGTAGAAGAGGAGCAGGAGGTCCAAGTAGCCCCCATGAGGCACAAAAGGATTTAGAACAGGGAATGCTTATACTCTCAGCATACTCTATGGGGACTGGAAGCTGGGTCATTGCAGGCTCTACAGTAAACATAGAAATCGACAGAGAATATTCCTCCAGGTGGGGTTTGGGGGGGCTTTCAGGCACATAGATTAGAAGAAGGGAGACACTGTTAGTAAGGGAAACTCTGAAGTATATGTTTTTCTCAATAATGCCAACAATGTGAACATCTGATGATGCTAGGGGCCACTTCCAGTGTCATCGGGTGTGAGAAACTGCACCATTTCCCATGCATCACCACCATCCACGTGCTGTAACCTTTCAAAGGACGCCATGTCAATAGAAAGGGTGGTTCTTTAGCTTTTCCACTTATTCTCATCCCCATAATGGTCATCTTCAGTTTATAAAGGAATAATCAACAAGAGACACCAAGCTCCTTTATTCCTCTTTTTCCCTCCCAAATCACTGGTTTTGATCCTTGGACCTTAATTACCTTTCACCAAATTTTTAAAGAAATGTAAACGAGGGCACCAGAGTCGCTCAGTGGGTTAAGCGTCTGCCTTCCACTCAAGTAATGTTCCCTAGGTCCTAGGATCGAGTCCTGCATTGGGCTCCCTGCTCAGAGGGGAGTCTGCTGCTCCCTCTCCCTCTGCCTCTGCCCCTGCTCATGCTATCTCTTAAATAAATAAAAATCTTTAAAAAGAAATGTGAATGAGGATGAGGTGGATGGAGTAACACTGAGGTCGTGATTGCACATGTCTGTGAAGGCTGGACAAGACAAATGCCAGAACGTGAATGTGAGTCAGACCAGCCAATGTCTGTGGAAATCACCACATATATTAACTACTTTAAGCAGTTTCATTAACTGACTCTCCAGCTGTAAATATCCTAGAACTCTGCTGAAAGAGTTTATTTCACTTAACACCTAAATGCCCTAAGAAGCTTCTACCATAGCTACTGCCTCGAAATGATTTAAAAGAAACTTGTGTTATATTAAAAAAGTATTTGTTTCTATTATTTAGTTACCCCAATTTCCTTAATACATTGTGATGTGTTTGCTATCCCCCGTCTTCGAGATCCCACTCAAATGTCAATACCATTCTCCACATATCTCTTAAGTCTCATGAATGTCATGTGGATAGAAAAGACTGAAAATGTCATTGTAGAGACCACACAAAAGGTATTCAAAAATGAGATTTTCTTTGGCTTGAAATCTTCAAGCACCATGCTCTTTGAAGTTAAATACTTCCTACCTCAGTTGTTTCCTCAGAATTAACACAAAAGGCACACTTACCAACCAGGACGACAAGTCTGTATTTTTCGTTCGTTTGCCGCCGATACGGTGTCACTTCCTCATATGTGGGTACATCAGCTGTGTCGTACTGGTCACTCTTCTTGCATTCATACATGGACTTATTTGTTTTCTTATCTTTTCTACTAAGACGGAAACTTCTCCTAAAACCAGCTGCAAAAAAACATATATATATTTAGTAATAAGAACTAAAGAAACCCCCCCCAACACCAACAATTAAAAAACCTCCAAATTGGATTGGATTTTACGAACCCAAATATTGTCACAAGTACATTTAGTAAGAGAAAACACCTAGATACTACACAATTTCATTAAAACAACCATTTAAGAGAATCCTGGAACATTTATTTTTATAGTTATGTTAACATAAATTTTATTTGGTTCCAAACCATAAAGAACTATTCTCTGAATTCAATGAGTAAAATAACTGCGTAATAAAGCAAAATAAGTTGGAAATCATAGTTTATCATGGACTGACTGAACACTGTTGATAAAAAGTTAAAAGCACTGTAGAAACATTTAAAATATAAATGCTAAATTCTCTCATTCATAAATACTAGAATATTTCATATTGTATTGTAAGCACAACCTAACAACATACCTGTGGCACAGACAAGCATCTATTCTTAAATAAAAAGAAAACTAAATTAGGGAGAGCTCAGTTTCAAACATGCCAAACATGGATCAGGCCAACAGAAGAGCAAGTTGACTTTTATGAGACTCCAGTGTGGGTTGGGGGTGGGGGCCGTAAATGATCAAGTCCAGGTTCTTGTTCTCCTATGGAAAAGTCCATGGCTTTATACTTTAAAGCCTACTGAATTTTGGAAATAAGATTTATAGTCTCAAGTGTATATACTCTTATCAACACATCCTATGATCTTTTCCTAAAAGAACTGTACAAGTACTTCAATAAATTTAAATGCTTAAAGCTCATGGCTGTCATTTAACACATGGGCTTAAAAAGCTGAGGCAAAGGTTCTTTTGCCCCGTCAACCCCCATTTCATTTGGCTTGCTCTTCATGTTGTTGCACTGTTTGGGCTTTATTTCCTTTCTAGTGATGTTCATCACACACAGTATGATTTCATCCATACACACAGTATGAATTCGGTAAGATGTGCAATCAATTTTCGACCTAACCCTCAAAATCCAGACTTTAAGGAAAACTGTTCTGGTTATTGAAACATTATATATATTCATATCAGCTCCATGGTACAAAGCAAAATGTAAGTACATTTTAAGTACATAAAAATATATTCAAATATATTCAAGAATGTTGATCAACTGTGATAAGTAGTAAAAAAAAATTTTAAATAGAGGTATTTTATAAAAAGAATGCAAGAATGTACCTCTGAAACAAATAATATATTATATGTTAAAAAAAAAAAGATAGCAGGAAGGGAAAAATGAAAGGGGGGAAATCGGAGGGAGAGACGAACCACAAGAGACTACGGGCTCTGAGAAACAAACTGAGGGTTCTAGAGGGGAGGGGGGTGGGGGGATGGGTTAGCCTGGTGATGGGTATTAAAGAGGGCACGTTCTGCATGGAGCACTGGGTGTTATGCACAAACAATGAATCATGGAACGCTACATCAAAAACTAATGATGTAATGTATGGTGATTAACAACAACATAATAAAAAAAGAAGTCAAAAAAATGCAAGAATATTAAAACTGATCTGTGTGAATTTTAGGGGCCATAATGAAAAACAATACTACTACTGCATTTAAGAAATTAACAGGATCCAAAATAAAGGCCAACATTAAAAACAATTATCAGTAACCATGGAGTTATAGCACTCACCTTATGGATTCACAGTTTAATAAAAATCAGCCAAGCTACTAAGAAGAGGGTGATAAAAGGTTCATCTGATAATAGAATTTTGTGGCCCACCACGAGTCATTCTGATTTTGAGCAAGTACTCAGATTATTTGAGGGAAAAGACTTACAAAGGATTTGAGACAAGAGTTCACCACTCTAAAGCTCTCGTATTGAAGGCAGAAGGCAAAGAGGAGAAAGCAGACAGGTAAAGGGATAAAACACCGGTATCTCTCCAAGGACAAGATTCAGAGGAAGCAAATGGGGAATGTGCCCGCCTGACCCTAGGATGAAGAAGTGTCAATTCTAAAACCACTCAGGCAGGCAGAGTTCAAACTTCTATATAAAGGGTGATAGGGAAGCTGTTTATTATTATTTCTCTTGTGTTTTTTAGGATATTGGGAAAGACTCACGAGAATGCCAAAAAAAAGGTTTCCCCTACATGGGAGTCCTCGCAACGCCAACCCAGAAGTGGGAGGATCCTTACAACCACTCCGAGTGCTTGAGCGCGTGCTTCCCCGACACCTCTCTCTTCCCAGTCTGCATCAGTGAGGCCATCCCGACCCCAACCCCGCTCTGCCACCTGCGACGGCTGGCCTACTCCAGAATCCATCATAAGACGGCTTCTGGTTTGGCACAAAAATTACACATTAGCTATGCTAACTCTCCGATGCTGGTATTTTAGAGTGTTCAAATTTCAGGTTCCCATGGTTCTTGTCTCATGGAAGGCAATTATAGGATAAGCAGGTAGAACTGGAAATTTCCTCATGGTTGTTCTTTGCATGGAGGGAGGGTTTTCCTCAAGTCACTACAAACTTATGGCCCAGGAATGAATCTACCCAGGATAGAAATACTTCATCCAAAGCAAATGAAGTCCAAAAGTAAAAACCTGAAAAATTTCTGAGCCATGAATTCCAGCTAAATCCTGAATTTCAGTGCAAGTGTACCTAATTGAGTCTTTTTACAATTAACTGAAGTTTTTGCTTTCATTAAAAATGAAGAGATAGTGGGGAAAAGAGTGAAGGTAATCAGGTGTCCGATGTGAGGTTGTCTGGACATCAAAGGTGGGGACCATGGCCTACAGGATGGTTTGGTGATACTTGTTGTCCAGTGCTTGGTACAGAATAGGTGCTTGATAAAAGTTTTATAAATTCAAGTAATTTAAAAAGGCCAAAACAAAACCTTACTTCACCTCTCTTTCATTTTCTTACTGTAAATTTCAACAAAGAAAGCAGGGCAACATTTGGTATTTTCACAAGAGAAAATTCTGAGAGGCAGGCCTAACGACAAAACACGGCATACCCAGAGGCACAGACCTGGAAGGAACTCTGCAGACCATCCTGGCCCATGACATCCTTGCTCCCCGGCCACACGGATGGCACGGATGCCACACGCTTGCCCATGCACCGTGACACGGTCCCGATCTCATTCGCGTCACTATTCCAGGTGGCAATGACGGAGCAACTAGAATTCCCACAGGATGTGAAGCTTAGGTGTCCTGACCCAATATGCTCACTTACAAAACTAAGGAAAAATGGCCGATCACCACACCATGTCTAGTAGAGCAGCAATACTGAGTGTTAAAAATTGAGGACCAGGGCGCCTGGGTGGCTCGGTTGGTTAAGGTTAAGTGACTGCCTTCGGCTCAGGTCGTGGTCCCGGAATCCTGGGATCGAGTCCCACATCGGGCTCCCTGCTCAGCGGGGAGCTTGCTTCTCCCTCTGACCCTCTCCCCTCTCATGCTGTTTCTCTCAAATAAATAAATAAAACCTTAAAAAAAAAAAATCGAGGACCAGAGGTGCCTGGGTGGCTCAGTCGATTAAGCATCCAACTCTGGGTTTTGACTCAGGTCTGATCTCAGGGTTGCAGGATCCGGCCCTCTGTCAGGCTCTGCGCTCAGCGAGGAGTCTGCTTGAGATTCTTTCCCCCTCCCTCTGCTCCTGCTCCCACTCATGCGCTCGCTCTCTAAAATAAGTAAAATCTTAAAAAATTTTTTGAGGACCAGAGGTGGCCAGGTCTGGGTTAGCATCTAGATTCTGACACCAGCTGTATGATTTCGCCAACTTTTTATAAACTGCTCTAAGGCTCATTTCTCAACTTTAAAATGAGGATAAGAGTATTCACCTTACGGGGTTGTTAAGGATTAAACAAACAATTCACATAAAGCATCTGGCCCAGTACCTGGCATACGGTAAATAGCTACATATATTAGCTATAGATCAGTACCTGATTATGTCTCCAACTAACTGAAAGTACCTGGAAGGCAGGAATATATACCTCCTTGTATTCCCCCAGCACAGTCTCGTAAGAAAGGGGAAAAATAAGGGGCTTATTCATAAGTGTTTAAAAGGCTGTTATAAAAGGACAATATTTAAATATAAAGATTAAAATTACAGCCAGATTTAAATATGTTAAATATTAAAAGTACCTATTAAAGTAGTAAAGCATTTTAACGCATCACAACAGAAAAATTTAGTATGCACTATCCTTTCACTTTTTTTCCTCCCCAAATACTCTAAGGATATGTGTTATTTCTGGTACCATATTTAAATTTAAAGAGCCTCCTTCCTTTGGTCTTCTTACTTATCATGACCATGTACTCTCCTGATCCACAGATACCTGTTTACTTTCCATATTTATAGCACTCCATACACATAAGTACACAGGATAAAAAAAAAAAAAAAAAAAATCCCTAACCCAGAGGAACCAATAAAGCCAGAACAGAGGATATGACAAAAGCACAAAATTCAGAGTACTTGCTTCTGATGGTTTGTCAAACCAAAACAACAAAATAGGCTGTCTTCCTAGAGTCTGTCCTCCACGGGAAGTCTGGGGTGATAGCTCGTTTGGCGTGCCGTTCAAGGCTGATTTTCAAACCTGGGTCACCTAATGAGCTATGTGTCAGCACACACCTAGGTTAAGTCTGAGCTTAAAGGAGACTTAACTCTGTGTCTGCAAGAGGCAATTTCTTCCCTTCAGCTTTTATGTGGTTCTCTCATTAAAAGGAAGATTTAAAACTGTATACTTACACTGAGCGTAAGCAAAGGGTTCGTTCAGGTAAATGTGAATAAATAACCCAGAACCTACTGAATCCCCATTCATTTTCAATGCACACGTCTTACCAAGAGCTGGCTTTAAAAGAAGGGAAAAGGAACGGTAACGAGGAATTTGGAGTAAGGGACAGTTTTATACACAAAATATATTTTTCCTTATATTTCACATTTTTGTAATTTATAATTGGCTCAACATTTTTATGGACAGGCTTTTTCCAGTGAGCTTACCCACAGCTGTTAGAGATTTGTGTGTTTTAAAGGAACGACACGTTTACTTTACTACA